CCTGTGGATACATCATGTGGCCGGGGGGAATTAAGGTTGCAGGTGGAACTAAGGTTGCTAATCAGCACACATTAAAATAAGGAGATTATCTGGATTAGTGAGGTGGGCACAGTGCCTTCACAAGGGCCCATAAAAGATGGAAGAGGGAAGGCTGGGCTCAGGGGCTCACGTCTGTAAGCCCAGCACTTTGGGAGGCCGAGATGGGTGGGTCACTTGAGGTCAGGAGTTCAAAACCAGTCTGGCCAACATGGTGAAACCCCACCTCTTCTAAAAAATACAAAAAAATAGGCCAGGCGTGGTGGCTCACCCCTGTAATCCCAGCACTTTGGAAGTCCAAGGCAGGTGGATCCCCTGAGGCTGGCAGTTAGAGACCAGCCTGACCAACATGGAGAAACCCCTTCTGTACTAAAAATACAGTTAGCTGTGTGGTGGAACATGCCTGTAATCCCGACTACTTGAGAGGCTGAGGCAGGAGAATTGCTTGAGCCTAGGAGGCAGAGGTTGCAGTGAGCCGAGGTCATGCCACAGCACTCCAGCCTGGGTGACAGGAGCGAAAATCTATCTCAAAAAAAAAAAAAAAAAAGCTGGGTGTGATGATGGTTGCCTGTAATCCCAGCTACTTGGGAGGCTGAGGCAGGAGAATCGCTTGAACCTGGGAAGAAGTTGCAGTGAGCCGAGATCATGCCACTGCACTACAGCCTGAGCAACAAGAGCAAAACTCCATCTCCAAATAAAGATGGAAGGGAGTCAGTGTCAGAGCAGTGGGTGAGAAAGATGTGTGGCCACGGGTGGCTTTGAAGGTAGAATGTGGGCAGCCTCCAAAACCCGGAAAAAGCAAGAAAGTGGATTTTTCCTGAGAGCCTCCAGTGAGAAGCATTTTGGGCTTTGGATATCCAGAACTGCAAGACAAAATTTGTGTTGTTTTAAGGCATTAAATCTGTAATAGTTTATTATGGTAGCAACAGAAAGCAAATACACCTATGAAAACTGGGTTCCTGTCTTCAAAGGCTTCCCCTTTGCTCGGCTTCCAGTCCACAGCTCCACTTACAGGCACAGTCCAGTTAGGTTTCAAGTAGGGGTTGGGTTGAAAAGTCAGCATGTGAGGAAGAAGTCTAGAGTCCGGATGAACCTTGAACACTTCCTTAATTGCCCCTCCTGTACAGAGCAGGGACCAGGATCCACTGAGAGTGTGTCCTCACCCTTGGGCACCCTCCCCCAGGGGCTTAGCCAGCTAAACTCTTCCCACCCTGTGGATTGTCTCTCTCCCCCTCCAGGCATATAATTAAATTTGCATAAATTCAAAGAACATATGCTGCAATTCCATTGTAATTTCAGATTTGTTTTATTTCCTGAGTTTGCCAAGGAAATAATGAAAACAAAACCTCCTATTTGTATTGTGACTTGTTCTCTTTTATTGCAGAATATATCACACATAACAGAGGAGTATGGGGAAGACAGCCCACGTCTATGCACACATCACCCACTTCTGACAAATCCTCACCCACTTCTGACAAATCCTGACGTCATTTTACATTTGATGGGTATTTTTTTTTTTTTTTTTTTGACATGGAGTCTCTTTCTGATGCCCAGGCTTAAGTGTAGTGAGTGGCACAATCTTGGCTCACTGCAACCTCCGCCTTCCGGGTTCAGGCAATTCTCCTGTCTCAGCCTCCCGAGTAGCTGGGACTACAGACTCAAGCCACCCCACCTGGCTAATTTTTGCATTTTTAGTAGAGATGGGGTTTCACCTTTTTAGGCTGGTCTTGAACTCCTGACCTCAGGTGATCCACCCAGTTTGGCCTCCCAAAGTTCTGGGATTACAGGCGTGAGCCACCATGTCCGGCAGATGGGGATTTTTTAAAAAAATAAACAAAATGTTACATTTAGAGTTGAAGTTGAAATCCAGTATCCTCCTTACCCTTGCCAGGCCATGCCTAGTTTCCTCCTCTCGCTGGCCCTCCCAGGTGCACTCCCTATAACTGATTGTGATATTGACAGCATCCTTGTGCAGGCTTTTATGCCTCTATTAACCATATCTGTGTGCACCCATAAGCATTAAAGTATCAACGTACACGTTTAGTTAGAAACATGGCGTGAGTGGTATTCTTCTGCAGTTGCCTCCCCTACTCTCCATCTCAACAGTAGCTTTCTGAGATTTATCCACATTGATACATACAGCTCTGGTTCATTCTTTTTACCTGTTAATGACTATTTAAGAAATGACCACAATTTGTATACTTATGCGTTCTTAGGCTGATCGGCATTTAGATTGTTTTCAACATTTTTTAAATACAAACAAAGCATCAGTGAACATTCTTGTACATTTCCTTTTGCCCCTGTGCTAGAGCCCCTCCCAAGACTAGGGAGGAAAACTGCTAGGTTGAAGGATGTGTTTAGCTTTAGTGTTACTGGCTATTTCCAAATTGCTTTGCACAGTTTCTCACTAGCAGCATATGTAAGTTTCCTCTAACCCACATTCTTACCAACACTATTTGTTTCTGCCCATCTGATGGCTAAAGGGTCTTGTCTTTCTCAGGCCATGGTTGCATTCACCAACTTGACTGATTCTCATCGGAACCCTGGGCGGAGGTGGCACAGGTCTTATCTATGGCCACCTGGCAGGAGGGCACACTGAGGCCCAGGAAGGAAATGATGCATCCAGCACGGCTGGTTGTGACCAGCCAGGAGCTGAACAGATCCAGAGGTCTGGGGTCGCAGGCATTCATTACACCATAGGGACTGTGTGCGGGGTCAGAATACAAACTTGGCAGCCCATTTTTAGAGAACAAAACATATTTAAATAACCTGAACTATGTAAATATCAACAACTATCCACACGAACAGAGGACAAAATAATTACCATTTTAGGGAGCTGTTATTTCACAAAACACTTTGTATAGCCGTTCCTTTTTTGATCCCGATAACTCCATAAAAAGACTTGGATTATTACTGTTCCCACTTCACAGATAAGAAAAATGAGGCTCACAGCTAGTCAGTAGAAGATCACATCATGAACCCGCTTGCCTTGAAAGTGTGCCTTCTGTACACACCCTTGGAGATGGTGTGCCTGAGGGTTGGGAATTCTTAATATGTGCTGTGAGCACAGGTGGGTCTGTGCCATCTCTCCTGGCTTCCTGCACAAGTTCCCTGGGAATCAAGGTCACACCGCAAACATAGAGCATTTCCTCTAGGGAGGCTCAGCCCCAGGTTGTATGCCCCTGAAGTCAGACTGGTAATAACACCCTGGCTCTGCCACCTAACACCTGTGACCTTGGACGGGTCACCTCCTCTGTGGGCCCCAGTTTTCTCATCTGTAATGTGGGGATGCTAGCACGTACCTCCCAGCCAGGTTGCACAGAACAGCCGAGGTCACACATGCACAGTGGAAGGTGTCCAGAAGAAACTCAAACGCTGGCTCTTGTGACAAAGGCTGTAATTGTGACTTCTGGCCACAGGCGCAGCTAGGGGTCCTGGTGAGGAAGGCTCTGCACAGCACAGTCACTGGTGTGTTGACTTTGGAAGACAGCCCATCTGCATAGGCTCAGGAGGCTCTATTTTGGAGATGCCAGCTCCCGGTGCCCGAGCACAGGGCCAGGGCAGTCACAGCCAGTGGCAGGCAGCAGTCCTGCAAGGACATCTACGAGGTCACTGGAAGGGCTCTTGTAAGTCCTCTTTTTCATTTTTCTCATGGCTTGAAAAAAAATCAAAGGATTATAGTGTGAGGGGTTCCTGTGGGCTGGCACAGCTGACAGTGAGCCGACCAGGCCCTGTTTCCAGGGCAGCGTGCAGGGGAGTCCACGCCAAGTGTGTTGGGTGGAGGGAAACAGGTGTGTTCATCACCATTCTCCACTTCCGCCCATCCCAGAAGGCCTTGTCCACCATTTGGGAAGCAATCCAGGTTCACTGCTGTTCTTGACACGAAGTCATCACCAGCAACTAGTTATCCTAGGTTCAGTGATGGAGGAGAAAGGACACATGATTAGAATGCAGGAGTCAAGTTTAGTTGGGTAAACTGTAGCCTTTGCAAGCTTCAGTATACAAGGGAGCTAAGAACACCTCTCCCACCTTCCTGGTGCATGACATACCTTGTGAGCTACCGAGTGCCAGGTAAACAGCAGGTACTGAGTGAACGCCACTGAGCTGCCCTGGCTCTGGGGGGCAGGGATTCAGCTTTGGAGGTGACGTGACGAAGAAGCCATCCACACCCTTCCCCAGATCAGGCACACATTAACCAGGGTAGCAGGTTCGCTCTGTGATCATGAGACAGCCTGGGACTCTATCCAACCTTCCCAGAAACTAAGTCTATAACTATGGCCTCATAAGCTTCCTATTCAACCATGAGGACACTCATAGTCTGTTGATGACAAGAGGAGACTCACAGGGCTTTGGAGGTAGAGTTCAAACACCAGCTCCATCCTTTGCTAGCTGGGTGACCTCGGTTAAGTCACTTACCTTCTCTGAGCCTCGGTTAAATCATCTGTAAAATGGGAGGAATTGTGACTATTTTGTGCCGTTGTGAGAAGGGAATGAGACTATGTCTGTGTGTCACAAAATAAGTCTTCAACAAACGGTGGCTGCCAGTAAACTCTCCCTGGGCCTCTGATTCTCCCTCTGCGAACTGGGAACAAGTGCTGCTCCCCGGCAGGGCTGCTGTGAAGGTGAAATGAGACAGTGTAGGAAGCAAGTACAGCATTCGCTCCTTACTGAAGGCCCCACGAGGCCAAGACTTCGGTCTGTTGATCATCCTCTAGTGAGTTCTCAGGGCCTGACACGCACGTGACAGGCTCTCAGAAAACATCTGTGGAGTGAGTGAACACGCTGACTGCTCTCAAAATGGTAACTGCAGGTGGCTTAATATCTCTGAGCCTTAGCTTCCTCATCTGTGAAGCGGGAGGGCCGTTGTGAAAATGCAAAGGGCCTGCAGCAGAGGCTCCAAACGGTCTCGGACCCCGAGCGTGCCTTGCTCCCCTTCCCCAGGCAGACACCACGCAAGGCAGCTGTGTATGTAAGAGCAATGTTTACTGAGCGATACAGGACTGAGTACTATGAAGGGTTTACAAGGATGGAAATGCACCCCGCCCCCGCCCCGGCCACCCCCGACACCCAGAGACTACAGTACTTAGGAGTTACACACAACGGCCGTAACTGGTGGCTATCTGTTCATAACAAACAAACCATAGCATATTTATACTGTATCACATCGAGTGATTATAGAAATCCATATATATATTGCTTGTATAAAATCTTTTCTTGTAAAAAATATTTAAAAAAAAAAAAAAAAAAAAAAAAGGAAAGTATAAAAAACATGTGCAGTTGAAAGCCCTGCCAGGACAGCCAGTCTGTAAACATTCGGTGAGTATGTGCTTTGGAAGGGCGCCCGCGCCTCAGTGCCCACAGCAAACTCCAGCAGGGCTGGCGAGGGTGCGCCCGGCTGCCGCCTCCTGGGCAGGGCCGCGCTGGACCGAGGTGGGTGGGGGCATCAGGGCCCCGCAGCATGCCCCTCTCCAGCTTCGCATCAGGGTGAGGGGCAGGGCCGGGGGCATGTGGGTTGCAGTTTCATTCGGAGTTCCATCCTCAGCCGCATTTTGGTGGCAACTCATGGCTTTTCCTGGCTGTTGGGAGGTTCCTCGGGTGGGTGCCCTGGTGAAGAGGCTGAAGAAGGGCCCAGGGTTGCCTTGTTGGGCATCTCCCTGGCCTCGGTGCCTCTGTCCTGCCACCTTCAAGTGGGGCCCCAGGCAGGACCACCCTACCCTAGGGTCAACTTTGGTCTCAGTGAGTTTCCTCAGCCCGCTTTTCCCCCTGGGTGGCTGATCTGAGTTTCACAAAAAAGCTCGGCTGATGTTGGCTGTGCCGAATCTCATTGCACAGTTTTTCATGCACCAAAGGAAGGGCTCTCTGGGCGCCCCCTCCTCCTCGCTCTTCGTCACTTTTCCTCCTCCTCCTCTTCCTCCTCCTCCACCTCCTCCCAGCCCATGGTCACTTCTTCTCGAGCTGCTCGAGCAGCGGGTTGCCTTCTGACTCGGGAGTCTTGACGCTGTCGGTCCGGACGATGCAGGTGGGGCGGTGCCGGTTCAGCATCAGGATGAGCTGCTGCCGCTCCTGCTTCAGCTCCTCGATCTGAGTCTTCAGCTCTGCGTTCATGAGTTCCAGCCGCTCCGATTCCTGTAGGCAAACACAGAAGCACGCTGTCAGTTTCACCGGGACCGACTCTCGGGGGATGCTCTGCCTGGGCACTCCAGACTGGCACTGGCCTTTCTGCCTGCCACGTTCCTGTAAGAGGAAGCACAGACCCTGCTACGGAGCCCCTGGCTAACTGACTTTCTGCAGACAGTGCCCGCCACACCGGTGACACTGGCCTGCCTCACAGTGGGATGAGTCCAGGTTATATTCTGGGGCTAGCCAGGCTCATGTCCCATCTGTCTCCCCTCCCTCAGTCCACCCCAGCTTCAGTGATGTTGCTGTTGCTCCAGTATGCCAAATACTCTGCTGCCTCAGGGCCTTTGCACAAGAAAGAAAGGGTGGGCAAAGAAAGGGGGCCAGGTGGACCTAGAGCAGGTCTGTGGAGCTAGCATGGGGTGGGGGACCCATGGGAGGACACAGATGGCAGTGTAGCGGCAATGTGCTTTGATGTGTGCAGACACATGCGAGAGATACCTTGGCCTGTGGGATCCGTGAGTGCAGTGTGGTCACGTCATTCCTCCTAAAACATGTGCTTCCTAGCTATTAGTCTGTAATTACTTAAATAGCCTCTTCCTTATCCCTGTGATCTGGAGGCTTTGCCCACGGAGAGGTCATCCTGCTGGATCCCAAATGAGATTTCCAACAGACCTCAAGTGAGATTTCCAGGGAACTTCCGGCTCAGCGGGAGAGGTTCCGGGGAAGGAAGAAATGTTGGCGATTTGATGCAGGAGGGGGTGAGGGTTACATGTCCATAGTGTAGATGGGAGATAGGAAGTCAAGGATTGGAGGGTCGAACAGGAAAGCAGGCAGCACCTGAATAATTTTTCTTGAATTATGTCTAAAAACTTAGAGCTGACATTTATTCGAGGGCCAGCAAAGTTTCAGACCAGTGGTTCTCAACTAGGAGTGATTTTTGCCTCCTGGGAGACATTTGGCAATGTCTGCAGACATTTTTGATTGTCTCAACTCAGGGGGAGCCGTGCTACCAGCATCTGGCAGGTAAACACCCTTCAACACACAGGCCAGCCCCATAACTATTTAGTCCAAAATGTCGATAGTGCAGAGATTGAGCAACCTGCATCAGTCAAATAGCACGCAGTGGTTGCAACTGCGTGTGTGACACCGGAGGGCCTGTGACCAGAGGGCCTGTGGGCCCATACGCTGCCATCCTCCTGGCAGGGCACAGGTGGAGCGGCCTCCCCAGGGGGTCCCAGGAGCCCTCGGTGGGCCCAATGCCTTCCCTCCAGGGGTAGCATCTTCCTCCCACAGCTGGTCTGACCAAAATGCTCCTGTGCTGATCTCCAAGGCGGCAGCATGAGCGCCTGGGAGCTCAGAACTGCTGAGACGGGCAGAGCCTCGTGACCAGATGCTGTGAGAAAACAGCCTCACTCAAGGGAAACCAAAATGCTGGGGGAAAGTATTAGAAATCAGCTCTGGTGGTTTTTGGTTCCACAGGCTGGGACGTGATTAGGAAGTTGGCCCGGTCCTCTGCCCTGAGAATTCCAGGAGAGGCGCATCTCGGAGCGCCAGGAGGGACCCCGCATGAAACCCTGTGAGCACGCAGGCTGGGGCAGTTAGGTGCCAGTGCCAGCCCCCTGCCCACTGGTCACTCTCTGGTGACATTGGGAACGTCTCACAAACCCTCTGAACATCACGGTCTCCCCAGTCCTAGGGCTTAGCTCCATCTTCAAACTCTCCTGAGCCCCTGCCTCAAGGCGTGTCGGGAATCCACCCATCCGTGAGTGTTTGCTGAGGCCCTGCTGTGTACAGTGAATGCCCTGGGAATGCAAGGACTATGAGTCCTCACGTGGCTCTTACGGCGTTTCCACTGTAAGGAGAAGATGGAATGCATGCGGCAAGGCAGAGCTTAGTGTGTGGCCATTAGCCCCCCAGGGTCCAGAAGATTGCAGAGAGGGGCTTAAAGAGCAGGTCTCTCCTGGGGCGTGAAAGATGGGTTGACTCTGGCTGGGTTGAGAAGGGGAAGGAGGGGCTTTCGGGTAGGGAAACCTGTGTGAACAGGGACCCAGACATGGGAAAGCTTAGGATGAGTTTAGAAGGTGAAACAATTCCACCGTCACCATAGCTCACTTCAGGACAGAGTAGGGTATAAAGCTGCAAAGGTGGGTTTATAGCCAGCCTGTAGCTCTGGAAAGCTTACGGGTTGAGAATCTGAGTCTAGAAATAAGTTTCTTTTCTTTCTTTCTTTCTTTTTTTTTTTTTAAGATGGGGTTTGACCATGATGGCCAGGCTGGTCTTGAACTCCTGACCTCAGGTGATCCACCTACCTTGGTCTCCCAAAGTGTTAGGATTACAGGCGTGAGCCACCGTGCCCAGCCAGAAATAAGTTTCTTAACTTCTCTGAGTCTCAGTTATCCCCTCTGTAGACAGGGGAGGATCGTGAGGATTAGATGGACTCACAGGGAAAAGCACTTTGTAAACCAAACAGTTAGAGAGGCCTACGGAATTTCGCCTGTAACACATGAGCAAGAGAATAGCATAAAGAGGGGAGAGAAGGAGCAGGAAAACGTCTCAAAGAAAAATCAGCAGATCTTGGTGACTGCCTGGATTTGGAGCAGGAAGGAGATAGGGCAGAGAGCTGACTATGAACCCGACGGAGGGTCTGAGGACCGGAGCCTGGGAGGGGAGCTGTTCTGGAAAGTGGTGGAAAGGAAAAGGAAGAAGTTTGTTTTGGGTACAGTGAGTGTGAAGTTAAAACTGGACATGCAAGGGGAAGCATCTGACAGGCAGAATTCAATAGCACTGCACACACATATCCGCCTCTGAGAAATTACCACGTGTCAAACCAACTATGTGGGAACATCTGTATCACACAAAAAGATCCATGCAGTGTAGGGCAACTTGCTTTACTCATGCAGTTATCGTGCAAAGAACATAATATTCTGTGGCTTTTAAATGTTAGGGTACATCATGGACTATCCCGAAATCTGATTGTCTGACTGTCAGAATGTAGCTGCCTTTTTTTTTTTTTTTTTTTTTTTTTGAGACAGAGTCTCACTTTGTCACCCAAGCTGGAGTGTAGTGGCACGATCTTGGCTCACTGCAACCTCTGCCTCCCAGGTTCAAGCAATTCTCGTGTCTCAGCCTCCCAAGTAGCTAGAATTACAGCCATGTGCCACCACGCCTGGCTAATTTTTGTTTATTTAGTAGAGACGGGGTTTCACCACGTTGGCCAGGCTGGTCTTGAACTCCTGTCCTCAAGCGATCTGCCTGCTTCAGCCTTCCAAAGTGCTGAGATTACAGTCATGAGCCCCCGTGCCCAGCCAGCATGTAACTAACTGCTTCTTAGTTTTACTGCCTTCCATACTCAAAGTGTTACTGGTTGGCTCTACACATTTATTTATTGTGTAAGTATAAGTTGAGTTCAGAAGAATCTTTTTTTAAAAACCATAATTGTAGAAGTGGTTTGTGACTTTGTAACGGCAATTACCTAATTTGTTTTTCTAATTAATGAAGGAACTGAGCTAGGATCTTTCTCACATTAATTATGAAGCATATACCTCTGGCTGCATTTTTGTTTATTGTTTTGCCTTCTGTTGGATATTTATTGCCCTAGAGAAAACGAAACTATTTGTTGTTTTAGAATAAAATTAGTGCAAGTCAAGTTCTGCCTCCTACACTGTGGTTGGCAAAGGCAGTAGCAAGAATACAAGGTGAGGGGCTGGGTGTCCTGGCTTTTAATCCTAGCTGTGTGACCTTGGCCACGTCACTTCTCTCTGGGCCTCAATTTCTTCCCAGAAAATATGATAGGCACAGGGGACTTTAACATTAAGATTGTTTTAATTGGCTGGACATGGTGGCTCAAGACTGTAATCCTAGCACTTTGGAAGGCTGACGTGGGAGGATCACTTGTGTCCAGGAGTTCAAGACTAGCCTAGGCAACACAGGGAGTCCCTGTCCCTACAAAAAATAAAAAATTAGCCAGGCATGGTGGCATGCCTGTAGTCCCAGCTACTCAGGAGGCTGAGGTGGGAGGATCACTTGAGCCTGGGAGTACAAGGCTGCAGTGAGCTATGATTGCGCTACCGCACTCCAGCCTGTGTGACAAAGTAAGATTCTGTTTCAAAAACAACAAAAGATCGTCTGAGTCTATATTTTTAAAAACCCATTCTAAGGCACATAAAATGGAATTCTACTAACTTTTTGTAAGAGCTGGGAAGCAGCCTGATATGGCCCTTTGAGCCTGAAAGACCTGTCTGGATTAAAACTTGCTAGCTATGCTTCCATTAACAAGTTTCCGATTTTCTCTTAAGTCTGGGCAACCTGAATACTGTTTGGGGTACAGAGGAAGCCCCGGGTTCTAGTCCTAATTCAGCCACTGTGTGACCGTGAACTTCATCAATGGATGGGACTGCCTTTCCTCCTCCCAGAGCCACTGTGACCATCAAGGAGAGAGTGGCCATGAAGACCAGAGGGCACCACAGGACTGTGAGATAGCATTATTGCTACCAATCTCTAGAGAACTTTTAGGACAGCAGCGTGACAGGAGCTGTCAGCTTTATACAAGGCAGAAGCCTCAGGGCCACTGCTCCTGACTGCAGACAAAGGAGGTGCTGAGGTAGCCCCAGGGCCTGCAGGGTGTGGGCCTGACCCCTCCCAAGGCCGGCTCCTTCCCCGGGTTCAGGAACTCGGCTAGTCTAGGCAGGCAAATTCCTAGATGCAGTAAGAATCTTCCAGGTGTGGATCTGGGTGTCCAGGGGTCAAGGGTGGGATGGTGGCTTTTTACCTATAATATATATACAGTTTTCTCTCAGTAGCCTTGGGCGATTGGTCCCAGGACTCCCTGAGGATACCAAAATCTGAGGATGCTCCAGTTCCTTATATAAAAGGCCCGTTATTTGGAGATCACCAATACACTTCTCCCATATACTTCAAATCGTTTTCTAGGTTATTTATAACGACGAATACAATGTAAATATTATGTAAATTGCTGTTATGCTACACTCTTTGGGGAATGATAAGGAAAAAAGCCTGCATGTGTTCAGTACGGATGCTCCTTTTTCTGAATATTTTTCATCTGCTGTTGGTCGAATCACAGATGCAGAACCCTCGGCTATGAAAGGCCACCTGCAGGTATATGTCCCAATTGTATATATCCCCTTACTTAATAAATAATTAATATTTATTTATTTATTTTTATTATTTTTTTTTTTTTGAGATGGAGTTTCACTCTTTTTACCCAGGCTGGAGTGCAATGGCGCGATCTCGGCTCACCGCAACCTCCGCCTCCTGGGTTCAGGCAATTCTCCTGCCTCAGCCTCCTGAGTAGCTGGGATTACAGGCACGCGCCACCATGCCCAGCTAATTTTTTGTATTTTTAGTAGAGACGGGGTTTCACCATGTTGACCAGGTTGGTCTCGATCTCTCGACCTCGTGATCCACCCACCTCGGCCTCCCAAAGTGCTGGGATTACAGGCTTGAGCCACCGCGCCCGGCCAATAATTAATATTTATTAACAATGAATATAGGTATCTCTGAGCCTTGTAAATAGTTTACCTATTGAAAAAAAATACAAGAGGAATCCCCCGGGTCTGCAGGCACTGACTGTCAACACAGCCGCCTACACTCATGCCCTAAACTTCACACCCATCCTCTGCTTCCAAGGCTGGGGAGGAGCCGAAGAACACAGGGGTGAGGGGAGGACCGGGCTTGGGCCCCGACAATGCTGTCTAAATCTCCCCCGAGACCCCAAGGCTGCATGCTTCCCTTTTACTGGAACAATATGATACTTCCAAAAACTGATCCTTCTACCCCAATCTGTGCCCCCTGCTGCAGCCAGAGGGGTCTTTTGAAGGCATGCCTCCCCTCCTACAACCCTTCAGTGGCTCTCCATGACCGTACAATTCATCATCCTAAGGCAGCACTTGTGAGAGTGAAATATGGGGCTACTAATCCTGAGGCCAGGACAACAGGCACAGACTGGGCATGCCTCAGGCAACCCAGCATCTAGCATCACCCTATTATGAGGGATTAGGGCCCTGCCTGCCTCTCCACCCACCCCCACCCCCCACCATGTGGTACTCTAAACTCCAGCCGGTATCCTTTTCAATGCCTTAAACACATCTGCAAACAGCACCTCTTGCCTTTGTTTGAGCCCTTCCATTCCTGGTAACCCCCTATGGCCTTCATCTCACTCCTCTCGCTCCTCTTTTATGTCCGAATGGAAGCAGCATTTCCTTAGCCCAGACCAGGATAGGGCCCCTGCCGTGCGTTCTCACAGCTCACCGGACTTGTCCACTCAGCATGGCCCTGTTTCTCGCTTCCTGCCTGCCATCCCACTGCCAACACCCCCACCTGCCCTCGGTGCCGCAGGCACTCACTAAACACCTACTAAACGGACGGGCAGATCGGCAAAGGATGAATTAATCCAAACCCACCACTCACTGGCAGTGTGACCTTGGCCAAGTAACTTGACCCCTCCGAGCTACAGGTCAGTCTCTAAAATCGGGATACATGATAGTATCTCACTGGACTGTTACAAGGATTCAATAAAACACGAGAAATGCCTGGCACACAGTGGGTGCTCAGCAAGTATTCCTGGAATGTGAAGGGCAGTGAGCGCCATTCATCGGGCACCTACTCTTTGTGGCACTCATGTGTCACTAACATGCTGTCCCCTTGGGCCTATCTCGCCTGGTAACTGGCCAACAAGCTCCTGGAGGCAGGGATCTCACACGAAGCTTCTCCAGTCCCTGCAGTTTCTCATCCAGCTCTGCTCACAGCAGGCACTCAGTGCTAGAAATGAGGTATGCGACACTCCATCCATCTCAAAGGCCCATGTCTTAGAAAATTCCTGAAGATTTCCAGCCAGTGTTATAGCACCATCTCTTCCAAGAAGCTCCCAGATCCAGGAAGCTAACCCCCATCTATGATAACCATTCCCTGCCCTGGAGGTAGATATGCGGCCCCCCATGCTGTCTACACTCAACTACAGAATAGCTCTCTGCTTGCTGCAAGCGTGAGATCCATAGACTCTCCAGTGTCCAAGAACACTCGGCTAGTCTAGGCTAGTCCTAGCCTTGTCTCTCCAGCTCCCACAGGAGGACTGTACCTGCTCCTTCCTATGTGCCCCCAGTGTACCCAGCACAGAGATGCACATTTAGTACATGCTTAAAAATACCTGTTGAATCAATTAATGAACAAGAGAGCAAACAAATGAATGAATGAATTAAAGCCAATATAACAGAGATGTGGGCAAGTTACTTAGGCCCGCTCTTCCTTAGTTTCCTCATCTGCAGAAAGAGAATAATGCAGGGACCCACTTCATATGGTTATTATCCCAATAAAACGAGATAACGTACATACAGCATTTAGCACAGCACCCAACTTTACAAATAGTGGCAACTGTTGTTAATTACTGTGTACTTTTAGAATAGGACCTGCCCCATTATGTTATTATTGTGCAGCAATGAACCAATAATCAGGGGTGAAAAGATAAGAGTCTACTGGCCTGGACCGATTAGCTTTCTGGTCGCGTTCCCTCACTGCCAGCCACCGTTTCTGAGACGCGGGGAAGCTCTAAGAGGCAGGGCACAGGGGAGAAAGACAACAAACATCCTGCTTGGCACATTCCAAATGAAAGGGCAGGTAGGGCCAGGAGGAAGAGCAACCCCTGGCTGACCTCTGCACGCAGAGCTGACCCCTGATTCCCAGAGGCAGCAGCAAAGAGCTTGGAGGCCACCTTCGGTGTGGCTGGGGGGCTGGCCAGATGGCATGCAGGGCTGGATAAGCCACCTGCAGCTAAGGGAAGGAGCTTTTCCCTGTGTAGATGTAGCCAGGCCAGAGGCTGTGTCCGCGGCCCACATGCAGGATGTTACCACCTAGCTTCATTGGCACCCACCCTAGACGACTTTGGTAGCCACGAGGGACCCAAAATAGACAGTGGCAGTCCTGGGCCATCCGGATCAATCAGCAACCAAGGGTCTAGCTTCAGTGGAGGGAAACTCGGCGCCTCCTTCTTTCTTGGGGTTCCAAGGGTTGTGTGGGCAGGAACTGCTGAAGGCTGCCCGTGGCTATCTTGGTTCAGAGGTGGGAAGGACACAGGAGGTGGGAAAGAGCAGAGGGGCCAACGCTGCTTTGGCAGCTGCTAGCAGATGTTCACTGACTACAGAGACATCTGACCGCCTCTCCTGGCCCAGAGTACACAAGCTCACTCCGAGGAACGAGGAACGGCAGGCCTCCCCACCCGCCCAGCCGGCTCACCCGCTGCAGGAACTCCGTGCGCTCCTTCTTCTTGTTCCGGCATCGTGCTGCTGCGACTTTGTTCTTCTCCCGGCGCCTTTTCCTTCGCTCCTCTTCCTCATCTAGCTGTGAGGGCACAGAGCCACTGATTAGACATTGAGACAGGCCTGGAGTACGGCTTCTCTCCTGACACACAGACAGAGGGACGATTTGGCCTTGCTAACCCACGTCTCGGCAGTGAACAAGGGAACGCTTCTGCCAGCCCACTGGCTGCAGAATTAGAAACATCTCCCAGCCAATCCGAGGATCCCGTCAGAACATCCCAGGAGGAGTCAGCAGCCCAAAAGGGCAGGAATTCTGCTACGGTTTCCCAAACTTCAAGTGTTAGTGTTAGAAACTTAATCCCCAACACAACAGTGTTGAGAGGTGGCACCTGTAACAGGTGGTGAGTAACAATATTAATGAATGGATTAACGTTGTTATAAGAAAAAGGGGTCTGTTGCAGAAGGAAATTTGGCCCTTTCTTGCTCTCTTGTGCTCGCTTCCTTTGCCACCTTCTGCCCTAGGCTTATGCAGCAAGAAGGGCCTTCACAAGACACCAGCACCCTGACAACGGACTTCGCAACTTCCAGAACTGCGAGAAATACATGTATTTTCTTTACAAACTACCAAGTTGGCATTCTATAGCAACACAAAATGAACTAAGACAGATATCTGGGTTCAGATGTCCTGAGAGAGAAGCAAGCCCAGAGAGGCAGGAGGCCCCTCGCTTCTGCCCCCAGGCACCCTCAGCTCTCCCACAGGTGGGCCTCCTGGGGGAAGAATACGCAAAGGCAGAGAAAAGGGTTAGAGCCAGATGAGGAGCGCAGGAGGCCGGGAGCCTGGCAAGTCTACTCACACAGAAGTGGCACCCAATGGGCGGTGACGGCCTTTTCTTTTGCCCAGCCCAAGCCCTCTGGGTACAATTTTCCAGGCTAGTGGCTCCCAGGCACTTCCTTTAAAAATGCCTTGGGCATGAACACAGCTGCCGCATTCCACTCCCGCCCCTTTCGACCTCCTTGACTATCTTTGCCCTCCCCTCTAACCCTCTGTTGAGATTTAAGATCTTCCCTGCTGCTCCATACCCACCATTCCTTTCTTGCTCCTTCCAAATGCTGGGATCCATTTCCTCTTGTCACTAACAGTCTCCCCAGCCTCCTCATCGGCTTTAATCCTTTCCCCCAGGATGCCCACCTGTGGGAGAGTGGAAGGATGCTGGGGCACAAGCGAGGGGCCTCCGGAGTCTCCGGGCTTGCTTCTCCCTCCTGACATGTTAAGAAATTCACCATTCACGTAATAGGACCCCTCAAAAGGAGAGAAGGAGACTCAAGACCCACTAGCACAGACACTGAATCAAAGTTGCTGATGCTATTGCTCCATGAGTAATAACAACAAGGGTGCCATTTGTTACCTCCTTTGCTAAATGCTTTAAATACATGTCATTTAATCCTCACCATCAAAGTCTTATGAGGGAGTTACTATCACTGTCCCATTTTACAGCTGGTGAAACTGAGGCGCAATAGTTCAATGTGCCCAAGGCCATACAACTAGAAAATAGGAGAGTCAGGATTCAAACTCAGATTGCTCTGGTTTCAAGCATCCTGCTCCTGGCCACTGGCCCTTGAAGCCCCAGTCCATCAGGAGCACTTTGATGTGCTACCTCTTGCTGTCTGTTACCTACCAGGAAAATCTGAAGGACATCCAGGACCAGCTGGGCTGGGGACAGCCCAGAGTCAGAGGCCATTAGAGAAGCCATTGGATTGCCCTGGGCTTGCCAACTCTCTCACTTCTCCAGCCAGGGGGGAGGGTGCGGGGGGTGACTCTTGCAGCCCAAGGCCTGGAACAAGGTCTCAGCCCAAAGGGCTATAGTCCAGGAAAAAAAAAACAGCCTCTTTCTGAACACTCCCAGCATGCTCTGGGAGCTCAGGACAGAGGGCCCGGGCCCGAGACCAGCACCACGGCCGTCAGCACAGGCCTTGGCAGGGCAGTCCCCTTTCTGATTCCCCACTACCTCTGAGCTTCTCCCTGCCCCATTCCCACCCCACCTGGGAGTCAGCTGCGGAGCTGCCTCATCAACACCGCCACACCCAAGCACCTCCCAGTCCCTTGGCCTCCTTTGAAACTGAACCAGAAGTGACAGCTCCTCTGGCTGACCTGCATCTGGGAAAATAGAAACCTGGCCGAAATTGATTCCGCCCAGCCTTAACCTCACCCCCAACAAGGCCAAGGTAACCGTGACGACAGGCAGAGGGAAGGAACAGGAGGAAGTGGCTGGCCATGCAATCTCCCCTCGGCCAGGAGGGTTTGCCCACAAACTGTCAAGGTGATCTGTGCAGCCTGGGCACTGCCAGGCCTTGTGTCCTTCCCTGAGCAACCAACCTCTGTCCTCCAAGGCTTTACTCCCTACCCTCACCCCGCACAGGGTTTTATTCCACAGAAAGTCAGAAGCAGGCGGCAGAGAGAGCTTCAGCAGCAAATGCAAAGAGACTCAGAGCTGGAAGAAAGTTTAAGAGATCAACTGGGCCAGGCTGAGGCCCAGATCAGGGGCCGCTCCTCCTCCCCTCTCCAGCCACATTCACCCCCTCCTGCATCACCTTCTACTCCAAATGTCTCACCCTTCTCCAAGCCAGCCATGCCCTCTCAGATATCCTTCCTTTTCCACTTGGTAAACTCTTACTCAACCTCAAGAGTAAACGTCACCTCCTCCAGGAAAGGTCCTTTGACTCCCTGGATAGAATCAGCTGCTTTTATCTAAAAACAGAACTACCATTCAACCCAGCAATCTTATGCCTAAGTATATACCCAAAGGAATATAAATCGTTGTACTATAAAGACACATGCATGCGTATATTCATTGCAGCTTTATTCACGATAGCAAAGACATGGAATCAATCTGAATGCTCGATGACAGACTAGATGAAGAAAATGTGGTACATATACACCACGGAATACCATGCAGCCATAAAAAGGAATGGGATCGTGTCCTTTGAAGGAACAGGAGCTCAGGTTATTATCCTTAGCAAACTAACACAGGAACAGAAAACCAAATACCGCACTGCTAAGTGGGAGCTAAATGATGAGAACACATGGATATAAAGAGGGGAAGAACACACAGTGGGGCCTACTTGAGGGTGGAGGGTGAGAGAGAGATCAGGAAAAACAACTATTGGGTACTAGGCTTAGAATCTGGGTGATGAAATAATCAGTACAACAAACCTCTGTGACACGAATTTACCTATATAACAAATCTGCACATGTACCCCTAAACCTAAAATAAAAGTTAAAATGAAACAGAATCCGCTGCTTTTTTGGTGCTGCTACAGCACCACAGGAGTCTCCATCGCATCCTACCACAGGCCTCGGTTTCCGTACGTGCCTGTTTTCCCTGCTAGCCTGGAGGACGAGACCTGAGCATTCCCAGCACCTGGTACAGCACATGGCACTCAGGAGGGGCTCAACAAATGCCACTCGGATGAAGGAATGAAGGAATGAATGAATGAATGAATGAAAGTAAGGATTCCAGAGAGAGATGCTACAGGCTTGGGTTCTTTCATTACAAAGTGACTCACGGCCCGTGTTTACACATGGCCTTTTCCCCAGAGCTCACGGGAACTTTCTCTGCCGGGATGGCCGCTTCTCTCTATTTGCAGTAGACCAGCAAAACTTGGAGACTGGGGCCTGCCTTCCCCAGAAGCACACTGGCTGAAGGCAGAGTCTAGATTTGGGGGCACAGGCCCCTGATAGCAATGGCAAGTCTGCTTGAATCCTAAGCAGGCCCATAAAAAATTTAGGGTGTGTGCTGAGGCTTAGAGCCCCCAGTTCCAGCCTCCAAGCCCATCCCCAGGCCTTTCCTGTACCCATGCCCCCCACCTTGGCTGATATCTCCCAATGAGACAAGATGTGACCCCGAAGCCCCATCTTCACACCTTCCCCATTAAAACGGCTGCACTGCCCCTAAATCATCCGGCTGCGATTTAAGAGTTGCCCAGAGATGTAGACAACAGCTGTTGAGGCCCTATCAGAAACAGGATAGGCATTCGGCAGAGCTCCTCTGCCCTCATGCCCACAGCTAATGCGGGCAGCACCATCTACACCCCCAGGCGGGGACCACTTGGAGACTCTCCCCAGCCCTCATTGGGGCTCTTTTATCCCCAGAGTCAGGGCTGCTGCCTCCTCCTTCCTGGTACTTCTTGAATTCTCTGAAGCATTTGGCCATGAGTGGGTGAAAGATGGCAGAGAGTGTTTGCAGCACACACGGCTCTGACATCTGAAACCGGAACCCCGAACTGGTTGAGATGATTTGTTTCTGCAGATACAGCTGGAAGAACCAGGATGGTTGAGGAGGAGGCAGGTTGATGCTCACTACATTTAAAGAACCATGAGATGCAGGCTGGAGGTGGGAACGGAGCATGCTTTTCCTTGTTCTCAAGCTTAGTGTCGGCTCTGTTTTCCTGCAGTTTCCCAGGGAGGCCCAAGGGCAAGGCCGTCCGGGTCCTGGCAGTGAGGGGTGCTGCTGCGGCCGCACTTCACATTGGATGGAGAGACCTGGGGACTCAGGACCAAGAAGGCCCTCGTGCAAGCAGCCCCTCCTCACTCAGACCGCTCCTCAGACAGCCTGTTCTCAAGCCCCTGCCACAACTGACTGGACAAGGCATGAACGGCTGTCCCGAGCTGTACTCACTCTCCTGGAATTTTCGGTTGCACTGGGAGATGCTGAGTGCTGGACTAAGGGGTCCTGGAGAGCCAAGCAACCAACTTCAGCCATGGGACTGGGGAGGCAGGAAGATTGGGCTGTGAAGTTTAAAGTGAACAGAGATCACAGACCACATGACAAGAGAGAAACAACCACTCAGCTCTAAGAGAGAGTCCGAGAGACAAAGAAACGGGCCAAGAGAGGGAAAGCAGACGGGGAGAAAAGCCGGGCCTGGAGCAGGGAAGGCAGGCAAGGTGCCCAAGGCACATGTTTAAGCAAGTGCAGGGTCAGCACCAGAGAGGGGGCATCTCCCTAAATAGCCCAGCCCCGTGCACTTCACCCAGGCTAGCTCACCCCACCAGGCCCTGAGACAGAGCGCTCCTGACAAACAGGC